CGGGACACAAGGAGGAAGACTGGAGGAAAGAGCAGTTTATATTCCATATCCGCCTACTTTTCTGTGACATCATCTAGCCCTTAATCTGTTGATTTGCTGAGCAAATAAATTTAGATGCACTGAAGCAATGGTAATTGCTTCCCTATCTTCTGTAGGAGTCTCATTGGAGTTTGGGGAAAATTATAGTATGTATTTAATAGGTTATTGCATTGTCTGAATTAAAGAGCCATGTGAAAGCTTTGGGAGGAAAGCCTAGAGATGTGAGGGATAACGTACATCTATGTCCTTTATAAGGGGAACATTGGAGGTATTCAGTGGACGCATTTTTATGCTGATGTTTGAATGAGAGCGATGTTTGCTGTTTCTGAGTAGTTCTAAGTAAGACACAGTTTTGATGTGTACGTCCCCGCAAACATAGCAGGCATAGAAGGAAGAGAGCTTGCTTATTTAGTGAGGCAGCTTTTCTACAGGATGCTCTACAGGATGCTTCATAAGCAGAAGAGTTCATTTTGTTAATTCTATTTGACTAAGGCCTTGCAGCAAATGCAATAGGTTATTTTTGAATTTGAAATTTAGTTGACTTGTCCTGCTTCCTTTCATTGAATAATTACAGATAGTTTGTGTTTAAAATCTGTTTAAGTGGTCTAGGAGAACAACTTATTGGCAAGAGTCTTTCCCTGGCATGTTTAAGGTCCTGGGTTTTGTCTCACACAGCACAAACTCAGTGACTCAGTCGATCAGTGAATCTGTTGTAGAGTAGAGTACGAATCAAAGGGATTGGACTTAGAGAAACCGTGTTCCTCTATGTAAATCATGGGCATTCTGTAGGTAAACTTGCTGGGTGGTTATGGCAACATGCCTTTAATCCCAGTACTGTGGAGGCAGAGGCAGGTGTTGAGTTCAAGGCTACCATGGTCTACAGAGTTAGTTCCAGGACAGCCAGGGATACACAGAGAAACCCTATCACGGAAGTGGGGCGGGGGGAGATAAGCTTTAAGAAAAAAATGGTTTGTTTATTTGTTGCATGCACATACATATATGTCTATGTACATGTTGGTTTGGGTGGGCTGTGGCAGGTGTGTGAAGGTCAGACGCCTTTCGGGAGTCAGTTCTGTCTTTCTACTATGTGGGCCTTAAGATCAAACTCAGGTCATCAGAGTTGATTATGGGCATCTTTTCCCACTGAAGCGTCTTGCTAGTGCTGAGTATTTTAACTTTTAAGTTCCTTCCTACTCATGCAGCTCAGATACCATTACACTGTAAACTGGGTGGCATAAGCTACAGACATTTCTTTCTCAGAGTTCTGGAAGCTGGAATTCCAAGACAGAAGTGCTGACAAGATACAATCACCATTACTTTTTTACATTTATTTATTTTGTATGTGTGTGATACACACACATGTGGAGTTCAGAGGACAACTTGTGTGATTGTTTTTTCCTTCCTCCAAGTGGGATTACATTCAGATTGCTGGACTTGGTATCAGGTACCTTTACCCTCTGTGCATCACCATGCCTGTGTCCAGGTTTGTTTTATTTTGAAGTCTCATTTCTTCGCTTTTAGGTGGCTGCTGTCTTTGTGTTCCTATGACCTCTGTGTGTAAAAGATAACAAACACATAACCTCTCAGGGTCTCTTTGTGAGGGCACTGATCTCATGACCTCTCCTAACCCTGGTTATTTCATCATGACCTCACCTACAAATACTATTGCATTGGGACTTAGGGCACCGATGTATGGTTTTGGGGAAGGAACCAGCAAAGATCCCTTAAAATTGAGAGCAAATGAACAAAGCCTACAAAATAGATTTCTAGGATGTGTGAGGACATAACACATTCCATTTAGTAAGTGTCAGTTGTTGGATAACTTGATGGCTCTTAAACCTGTTGTCAGAAGAGCGATGAGCTGTGTCCTGCCACCCAGCTAGCTTATACCCCGAAATAACAACACACAAATTGTATTTATTTAAACACTGCCTGGCCCATTATTTTTAACCTCTTATTGGCTAACTCTCACATCTTGATTAACCCATTTCTATTAAACTCTGTGTGTCACCATGTGACTGTGGCTTACTGGCAAGTGTCTAACCAGCGTCCATCTGGGGCAGGAGAATCATGGCATCTGCCACACTTTCCTTCTTTCCAGCATTCTGTTCTGTCTACTCCACCCACTTAAGGGCTGCCCTATCAAATGGCCAAGGCAGTCTCTATTCAACCAATGAAAGCAACATACAAACAGAAGAACCTCCTACACCATTTCCCCTTTTTCTGTTTAAACAAAAAAGAAAGGCTTTAACTTTAACATAGTAAAATTACATATAACAAAACAGTTATCAAGCAAGAATTACAGTTACAATATTTAACAAAGGAAAACTATAACTATCTATGTATTCTTCAACTCCATCAAAGACTCCAGAACATTCCCAAAAAATAGACTATGTGTACTTTCCTTTGTTTTTTTTTTTTTAAAGTGATGTGGGGGAAGTGATATGGGAGAATTGTCTGTATTCTGTCAATCATGTTTTAAATAAATGTTGATTGGCCAGGCAGGAAGTATAGGTGGGTCAACCAGACAGGAAGTAGAGGCAGGACGATGAGAACAGGAAAATTCTAGGAAGGAGGAAGCCCATTCCTCCCAGTTCTGCTCAGATCACTGAAGAAGCAAGATCTCACCTGCCCCACTGAGAAAGGTACCAAGCCATGTGGCTAACATAGATAAAAATAATGGGTTGATATAAGAGTTAATAAGAAGCCTGAGCTAATGGGCCAATCAGTTTTATAACTTATGTAGACCTTCTGTGTGATTCTTTGGGACCTAATGACTGTGGGAACCAGGCAGGACAGAAATCCCCAAAAGCAGGCCCTCAATGTTACATAAATCAAGGTATCTGACTATTAAAAACAATGTGTATGCGTGTGTAATAAAATATTTGAAACAATATTTTTTAATCTGAAAAAAACCTGTGCTTGGTGACTCTTTCTGATGTGTGTTTGATTATTCCGTTTATATTTATTTGACCATAGGGATGATTTGACCAATAAATTCAGAAATTTACACTTATTGTTTAGTTTGCTTCCATCTTACATGTAGAAAGGTAAGATTAAGATGAGGTCCAAGAAACGATCATGATACTCTATCGAATCTTCCCCTGATTCTTCTGTGCCCCAAATATATGCAACTGAATGCTCCCAGATGACCCACTTGGACTTTGAGATGCTTCTCTTCTGCATCACATAGACTCTTGAGTCTAATCTGTGGGTCTGTCCTTTTGTACCCACTGCCTTGGCAGCCTATCATTTTGTCCTGTAACTGCTTATCCTGCTAATGAAAAAGAATTTCTTTTTTTCTTTTTGTTTTGGTGGTGCCGTGGCATAAACTCTAGGGCTTTGGGCATGTGAGGCAAGCATTCTACTACTAATCCCTATTTCAGCCCAGAAACTGAACTTTGATAAAGGCGCTAGCAAATTACCTAACATGTAATACTTAGTCAAGGCTGCTTTAATGTCTGTCCATTTCTTTGAAGCAGCTTGATAGGTGGAGAGAATCAGGTGTGAACTCTACTCAACAGGACTGTTAGTATTGCAAAGATACATAGCAAGCAGCTTAGTGCCAGAGAAATACTTTTTCCTCCAAGAACCTTTTTCCCCATAGGAACTAACATTCAGCATGTTACCCCTCAGTGCTATCACGTTAATACATTCAGTTCCGTTGAAAGGTGTTTGTATTAAAGGAGTGATTAAATGAGTGTTGAGTAAGAGAAGGAGCATCTGGTGCCGGTGGACCTTTCAAAACATCTTTAAAAATCATTCTGTGTAACATATTCTTTAGTCTCTAACTCAGACTGTGCTTCTGAAGCACCGTTTTACTTGCTAAGGGAATGAAGTTTGGATGCCACAGTGCAGGATTTTTAGATGTTTTCCCATGTTTCAGAGTGCATGGAGGAACACCTTTCAGATTGAGAACATGATCTTTTAAGTAGTAATAAATGGTAAGACATGTGGATGTGGTGGTGAAAATGTAATGTGGATGTATTTGAACTGAAAACAAATGGGCAAGGTTACTGTGCGCTTCTCTTCGTTAGCTCTGAGCCAAGGTATAGCAAACAGGGACGCAAGGTCTAATGAGAATAGAGATGGACCTGGATGTTACTGGCTAGTTAAGAAGCAGTGGACTTACATGTTACAGATAGTTCCCACTTTCTATCAGCCAGGCTTGATTTCTTTGATGCCTGCAGTAAGTTAACTACCACTTATATTGTTTGATGTTGAGTAATAGTAGTTTATCCAATTTGTCCGTAGTTTATGCTGGAATTGACAAAAGGATGTGTGACGGCACAGTGAACCACTGTTTATGCTAGTCTGGAAAACATGTCTTCAGCCTTCTCATTGATGATTAAATGAACAGCTTCAGAGTGCCTAGCATGTTTGTAGGACTGTCAGACCAGAGCCCTGCTGCTTTTTCTAGCTGATCCCAAGAAATTTCAGATCTTTTTTGGTCACCCCACTCCGAGTTTTGCTATGTAGTTCTGACTGCTTAAATTCACTGACTTCAAACTAACAGGGAGCCTCCTGCCTCTGCCTTCTTAACTTCTGGGATTACAAGCCTTTGTAGTAAATTGTAGCTTTTAAATCTTGATTTATTTATTTTTTTTCCTGAGCATCACTGTAGTCCTGGTTGCCTCGGCTCTCCAAGTGCTAAGATATTGACAATTGCTGCCGTGCCCAGCAAGTATTTGTGCCGTTTTAAAGATCTATCGTTAAAGCCTGAGGTCTCTTTAGAACAGGCTATGATCAAGGTGGTTTAACAGAATAATGATAGAGTAACCTTTCTTTTTACCAAGTCTTGAGATTGTTTTCTTTTGTCCCTCACCTGTAAATTCTTCAAAATAGGAAGTCAACTTCTCATTCATATTAAAGCTAGGACATCATGTATGCTGGTCAAGCACTCTACCCCTGAAGCTAATGCCCTCCCGCTCTGTGGTCATATCCATCCCTTTTTGCTTCAGGTATGGGTGTGTTCCACCTACAGGAGAACTCAAACAAAACCGACAGGGAAGGAAAACAAAGGACCAGGTGAATCTCATCCTTCTGAAAATGACAATGATGAATGAAAACAAAAGACCTTAGCGTTTGGATACAGCAGAATGACAAACTGTTGGAGAGTGAAAAGATTCACAAGCTTGCAGCCTGGGTGAATGTTCTCATGATGTTCCAGTCCTTCCTGGAAGATCCAGAGACAAAATTCCCTCCTTCGTATTTTAAAACCAAAGGATTCAGGATTTAGATTGTAAATTTAAACCTGTGAAATCATGAGCTATACCTGGTTCCTTGATAATGAATGGAAAATGTCCTGTTGAGGGGAATAGGAGGATATCAGTAGTTTTTAACGTACCAGTATGGCCAAATTAAAAATAGGTTCACCTTGAGACAGTGACTTATACGATAGGCTTAACAGGGAAAAATAATTTGGGTTTGTATTGCAAATATACTAAATGAATTCTAAAGACTAAGAAAAAGCTTGAAGTGTTTTTCTGTTTTGTTTTATTTTGTTTGAGACAGGGTTTCTCTGTCCTGGAGCTTGCTCTATAGATCAAGCTGACCTTGAACTCACAGAGATCCTCCTGCCTCTGCCTCCTGAGTGCTGGATTAAAGGCGTGCACCACCACTGTGCCTTGTTTTAGCTGCTTTTGGTGGAGTGACAGGAAAATTGTTGTAAATGACTAGTTGTGTGGTAGCGACACTGAAGTCCACTTCAGTTTCTGTCACAATTACATCAGAGGGTATGTTTTTTGTAAATTTTTTTTTTTACAATTATTCTATGTGTATAAATATTTTGCCTGCATGTATATGTGTGTGCTTGGTGGCTGTGAGGGCCAGAAGAGGGCATCAGATCCTCTGGAACTGTAGTTAACAGATAGTTTGAACCACCATTAAATGGTGGGATTGAACCCAGGTCCTCTACAAAGGCAGTAAGTGCTCCAAACTCCTTAGACTCCAGCCCCCTAGGTTTTTGAAGCTTAGTATTGGACTGATAAGCTTTCATATGCTAGTAACTGAATGCTTTTATTACACTTTTTCCTTTTTGTTTACTGTTAATAAGTCTCAATGTCTGCTTTTCATTCCTCTGTTTTCTTGTAGCACATAATAATAATAATAGTCAATAGGAGCTTTAAAAAAAAGTTACTACCAAATTGTTTGAATTTTCAAGTTTTAACTCTCACTGTGTTCTTTTTAGCTTGCCTTACCCAGAGGTCTTCCGTCCAGAGTTGCAAGCGTGACATTTGCTGTGTTTTCAGCACCTGCCAACTTGGAAACCAGGGTTTGTGCTCAGGACATAGGCTTACAACCCACACTTTGTGGTGCACAATGCCGTCCCAGCTGGCATGCTTTCGTACCTCAATGGTGCTAGACATTCGGTTACCAAGCAGCACAGCTTCGCGTGTGCAGATTTCATTCCTCTCCAAACTGCTTTCAACTCTTATTTTGTATCACAGGAGTGAGATTAGCATCATTAAATTCACTGCTGTAGTTATTTTTCAATGAAAATAAATTTGATTTATTTTTGGATTTAAAAATACAATTTTCCTCTTAAGAATCGAAATGCTTCTAAATTGGCTAAAATATCATGTGTTTTATGTATCTAGCACACAAATATAGCCCTAAAGTTGTAACTTATTTTCATAGGAAAAAATGAAAGGATCGTGTATTAATTATAACATGTTTCATACATAGGTAGGCCTATTAGTTGTAATTCAGTGTAGATGTGGGAAAAATTGCAGACTTTTTCTGAGTAAGATTCACATAAGAAAATTGCCCCATGATGGGCCCAGAGTTTGGCTTCTAATTCTGACCAAAAACTTTACATATTTTCCAAAGAAGTATTTTTTATCAACTCGCTCTCAGTAGCCAGTGTCTTTGAAAACATTTCAGGTGGTTTTGGTGATGTCTGTCTTCCCATAATCTATTATAAGCAATTTTAAAAGGTTTTGCTTGGAAAAAAAAAGGTCTTTTCAGATGTAGAAAGAACAGTGTGAAATGTGAGTGACTGGCTTTTGATACAACAGTGACAAAAAGGCGCAGTGGCTTTTAGAAGCTGAATAAAGGGGTTGGTACACAAGCATCTGCATACTGCTGTTGGGCCCAATGCATAACATGTCTAACATGTTTAGTTCACTTTGTTACCCTAAATGAATTCCTATGGTTAGTCTCTTACAATTTTTAGTGGTGTACTCTTAGACATAGGTATAGATAGAAGTGAAACTGAACGGTTACTGGCACTGACTTCAAACTTCAAAGCTTAGTTCTTTGTTGTTTGAACATCACAGAACATCACACTGATCTGGTTCTAAAGGCATAAAAATAAAACTTACACTAACTGCCTTAGACACTCCTTAGTATATATCAAATGCAACCTTTACCCTCTCCACAGATGTGCTTAGGTGAACACTTCTTTAGCTTGTTGATACAAGTTATAGTTGGTTACACCCTTTCTTAATAAAATACACCCTTATTGTCTCCTGTTGCTTAAGAGGTCTAAGCTTGGAATTGAGGAGCTGTAACAGGGATACTCAGTGAAGAATATATCCTGCATACACAAACAGCCCTCTATTTGCTAGTTCTTATTTTGGGGGAAAGCCAAAAGAACCAGTATTGCTTTATTTATCCCTGGGTCCCATGTTGGTCTTAGAAGAAGAGATAAAGTAATCCTTGCATTTTATACTTTCCGGGGTGTTGCATGGTTTTAATCAGGTTAGTATTTATCCAGGATAATGACAGAGTTACAAGTGGTCGTTTTTTAGATTTGTGGACTTATTTCTGAATTGCCTATGAATTTGTGTTTAGGCATCTGGTTGTACTCTATAAATCTGGTTCTGATTTGGTTGACCATTTAAGCGTGAACAAAGGTAGACAGTCAAACTCCCTCCCTCTTCCCAGCTGCTGTTTACCTAATCTTAAATTCAGCTGACTGGCTTTGTGTCTATTCTAAATTAAACAAAACTTTAATACAACAGCTTTATGGACAGAACTTTTTATAATAAGAGACATTACATTTAACATTAAGAATCAAATGTGTGGTAATTTTTATAGAGGACTGACATAAGCCTTAATGTATATGTCTTTTTAGTGTTGAAGATTGAGATTTAGACAACTACATTGATAAGTTCAGCTCCTTAAGCAGGAGTTTTAGTCCTAAGTACTGTCAGGAGAGGCTAAGAACCAGAAAAACAGGCTGTTTAGGATTGGAAAAGGAGGTAGTAGAGCTAAGGAACTGCCCATAACCCCCATCTTTGGAATTTCATGAGACTAACATGGTCCTGAAAGCTACAAGAATAATGGTTGCAATAATTGTTTCCAGGCGTAGGACCCCTGGCATCTTGATTTTTTAAGTTGACCCAATGAACTAGTAATTGCAGGGATAAACTGAATGTTTGCCAGCAGGAGTCACTCTAGGCCTCCCAATAAAGTTAGTGCATTAAACTCGATCCTTAACAGCGCTTGGAGGCTAACGTGGTGGTACTGAGATAAGGTGACTTTCTGGAAGGGAAATAGCATTAAGTATACCTTCCTTTGACAGAACACGTGGTTCTTATTCCTAATTGGCTCATAACACATTTTTAAAAAGAAAATAATGTATTTTGTATTCTAGATGTTAGGACACTTCTGATTGTGTTCACATCATCTCTCTGAGGTGAACAGACTTTTTCAGATGAGCATCTTAATCTTATGTCAGAATCTCTAGAATGAACTGTAGTCAGTCTGAACGAGGTTAGCTCATGCTTTTCTGGAAAGAATAGGTCCAGTGTGGTGACAAACTGAAGTATTTCAGCAATAGCCATGAAATCTGATAGTTTTCCCAAGTGCACACAAGCTCAAAAAGTTAATTGTTCATTTATGTTTGATACTAGGATTTCAACATTGGATTAAAACCAATTAAATGTTCCTAGAAGCAACAGAAAAAGTTTCCTGATTTATGAATAGAACCATTCAAACGGTGCAGACACAATCCATGTAAAGTAATGAGGTGTTTTGTTTTTTTGGCAAAGGGGAACGCAAATCAGTCATAGGGACTTAAAAAACAACTCTTATAAAATCTCTTTTTGGATACAAGGTTAATAACACATCAGCAGGAAGGAGTGATAGGAAATCTAGGACTTCGTTTCATAAGGAACATAGTCCCCTCCCCCAGGTGAGCCGCACAATGAAAATACTCTGCTTATTCTATCAGGGTTACATTCCTGCACTTAAGTCAACATCCTAAGTTACAGAACTAAACATGCCCTGCCTCTGCTTAGCAACCGCAAATCCTTCCTTCGCCAGTTGCATGTATTTTGGATGTGGCATCTGAAGAACAAATTCCTCTATTTCGATCGCACCCAAAGTCAGGAACAGTGCTTTATTATCCTAAAGTGTGGCCGTTCCAGGGCCCTCCCCCATCCCTTGCGATCCTGTTCGCCCTAGATAGGATCCCTTTTAAACTGCTAAGCCTAACCCGGAAGCTGGCCGTCCGAATCCCATGCGGCCTGGGTTTCGGTCTTGACTCGTGCGGGGCTGTTTCCCGCGAACGGGGCCTCCAGGCGCAAGGGACGCGCGGTGCGGGTTCGCTGGACACCCGGCACCCTACCGG